TTCGGCGACGCCGTTAATTCGGTTGTCGACAGGTTTCAGGAGTCGAGGAAACAATCTGCGGCGTTCCAGCAGTACCTCCCCCGGAAAGCGAAGGCCAAATCTAGTAGGGTGGGGCAAAGCGATCAGCCCCAGCCATCAGCCAGCTCCTCCCATAGGGCAGAGCAGAAGGAGAGCGTTTCCTCTAGAGCCCCCCCTCCGGGGTCTTGGCAACAGAGGAAACGCTCCCAAAAACCGAAGTCCTCCGGCCAGAGGCGCGACCTGAGGGACGTCATTCAGGCTAGGAGGACTTCGGAAAAGAGGTCCTAGCCACGGCAGGACTTCAGAGGGCTGCCCCCTCCGCAGTGAGACAACCGAGGTTGTTCTCGCAGCGGGGCCCTCTAGGAAAAGATGCAGGTCCGCCGTTAACAGCGTTTCGGGCCGCATCAATTTCCAGCGAAAAGACGATTTTAAAACATCGGTTATGGTCGCAGGGACCGAATCGACTACAGCCTGCCAATATTCAGCTTCAGGTAGTCGAAGAGAATACCCTGAAGACACCGGAGGCCAGCCTCGAGAGGCTGGTACCCTTAGTAGATTTTGTAGAGGGATGGTATCATCTTCCCAACATATCTCCATGGGTCCTGCAGATAATACGAGTTGGGTACAGACTGCAGTTCGCGCACCGCCCCCCCAAGTTTTCTGGGGTGGTGCTCACTGCGGTGGTCCCAGAGCAGGCTCAGGTGCTGGAACAAGAAGTACAGACTCTGCTGTCGAAAGGAGCCATAGAACGTGTTCTTCCGGTAGACAGGGAGTCCGGGTTTTACAGCCGGTACTTTATAGTTCCAAAGAAGGATGGGGGGTTAAGGCCAATTTTGGATCTCAGGGTGTTGAACCGGTCTCTGAGAAGGTTCAAATTCAGAATGTTGACCATTCCAACAATCGTGAATCAAATCAGGTCCGAGGACTGGTTTGTCACGATAGATCTGAAAGACGCCTATTTTCACATCTCCATCCTTCCATGTCACAGGAGGTACCTGAGGTTCGCTTTCGGGGGCGAAGCATACCAATATCGGGTTCTTCCGTTCGGCCTAGCACTCTCTCCCCGCACATTTACCAAGTGTATGGACGTGGCCCTTGCTCCATTGAGACTTCAGGGGATTCGGGTATTGAATTATCTCGACGACTGGCTTATTCTGGCCCAGTCTCGGGAGATGGCAGTTCGGCATCGAGATGTCGTTCTTGGCCATATTCAAAAATTGGGGTTAAGACTCAATTTGAAGAAGAGTGTGCTAGTACCGTCCCAGGGCACGACCTTTTTGGGAGTCGTGTGGAACTCGGTTACAATGCAGGCACGTATGTCTCCCGCACGTATCGAGTCAATTCTGGCGATGGTATCCAGGGTGAAGCTAGGCCAGGCCGTCACTGTGAAACACTTTCAAAGGATGCTGGGCCTCATGGCAGCGGCATCCAACATTATTCCTCTGGGCCTCCTTCACATGAGGCCCCTCCAGTGGTGGTTGAAGACCAAGGGGTTCTCACCCAAAGGGAATCCGTTCCGTATGATCAGAGTAACGCGCAAGTGCCTTCAGTCTCTGCAAGTATGGAAGAAGCCTTGGTTCCTATCCCAAGGGCCAGTGTTGGGGGTGTCATGTCGCCGGGAAACCGTTTCGACAGACGCCTCCCTTACTGGCTGGGGCGCGGTCATGGACGGCCGCTTTGCCAGGGGTCTGTGGCAGGACCATCATCGCACTTGGCACATAAATTGCCTGGAAATGATGGCTGTGTTCAGGGCTTTGAGGAGCTTCCTCCCAGACCTCAAGGGTCGCCACGTCCTAATACGGACGGACAATACGTCAGTGGTGGCCTATCTGAACCGACAAGGGGGACTCAGATCGCGCCCTCTGTGCAGACTGGCGCATCAGATTATCCTTTGGTCCCAGGGGAAGATATTGTCAATGAGGGCAATGTATATCCCAGGGGTTCAGAATCGGGGAGCAGACATCCTGTCGAGGCAGGGGCTGAGGCCCGGGGAATGGAGACTTCATCCAGAGGTGGTGAAGTCGATATGGGAGAGGTTCGGACCGATGGAAGTGGATCTGTTTGCGTCTCGAGAGACGTCCCACTGTCCACTTTGGTTCTCCCTCTCACATCCAGCCCCGCTGGGGTTGGATGCCATGGTACAGGCTTGGCCGAAGCTTCGCCTGTATGCTTTTCCCCCGATCGCTCTGCTCCCAGGGGTCCTGGAGAGGGTCCGTCAAGAGGGCATCAGTCTACTTCTGGTTGCCCCGAGATGGCCGACACGAGTATGGTTCTCGGATATAATATCACTCCTCATAGCTCCGCCGTGGCCGATTCCTCTGAGGAGGGATCTATTGTCTCAGGCGGAGGGCACAATCTTCCACCCTCGCCCAGAGTTGTGGAAGCTGTGGGTCTGGCCTCTGAGGGGGTTCAGTACCTGAATGCTGGCTTATCAGCTGAGGTGGTTGAAACCATACTTAGCTCTAGGGCCCCATCTACCAGGAGATTATATGGCCTCAAGTGGAAGGTGTTTCACACTTGGTGTGGAGAACGGAGGTTGGATCCAGTAAACTGCCCAGTGGCTTCAGTTCTGGAATTCCTTCAGGATCGTTTCTCTGCGGGTCTCTCCCCGTCCACTCTTAAGGTGTACGTGGCTGCCGTTTCGGCTTTCCACGCGCCAGTAGATGGTGGACCTCTGGGGAGGCACCAATTGGTCATTAGGTTTCTCCGTGGTGCTTGGAGGATGAGGCCGGCGACCAGGTCCAGGGTTCCTGCCTGGGACCTGGCGATAGTTCTGGAAGGGTTGTCCCTCGCTCCCTTCGAACCTTTAGAGTCGGCTTCGCCTAAGGACTTAACGCTAAAAATGGTCTTTCTCTTAGCGATTACCTCTCTTAAGAGGGTGGGAGATCTCCAGGCCCTGGCGGTAACGCCAGCTTGCTTGGAGTTTGCCCCTGGCAAAGTAAAGGCCTTTTTGCACCCGAGTCCGGGCTACGTGCCTAAAGTTCCTTCGAGTACGGCTCGCTCTGTAGTCCTTCAGGCATTCCATCCTCCACCTCATGTGTCGGCGGAAGAAGAGAGGCTTCACTTGCTCTGCCCCGTCAGAGCTTTGAGTGTATACCTGGAAAAGTCTGCTTCTTGGAGAAGATCTGACCAGTTGTTAGTATGCTTTGGGTCACCTAAGAGGGGGCTCCCGGCGACCAAACAAACTATAAGTAACTGGATTGTCCAGGCTATTACTGAGGCTTACAAGGTGCGCGGGGTTCCTTCACCTTTGGCCTTGAGGGCTCACTCGACTAGAGGCATGGCTTCCTCTAGGGCCCTTCTGTCGGGAGTACCTCTGCAGGAGATTTGTGAGGCAGCCGGCTGGGCTACCCCGCATACTTTCATCAGGTTTTATAGTCTCAACCTTCCCAGTACGCCCGGTGCACACGTACTCGGCCCTTGCTGAGGGCCTAATCAGTTTCACTCTGGGGCGGGTCTGTTCGGTGCGTGGCCTAGTGGGTACTCATTCCCCAAAGAGTCGATTTTATCGACGCAGTGTTGAGTTCCCTCGATAGGGAACGTCTCGGGTTATGACTATAACCCTTGTTCCCTGAGAAGGGAACGAGACACTGCGTCGTGTTGCCACGCCCCTTTTTTAGACCCTTGAGCGTCTTGCTTCATCGCGAGGCTAGTGTGTGTTGTGACAGCGTCACTTTTATACTTCCGGGTATGCCGTCACATGTTACGTCACGACGCAACACCAATCAGGATTGGATTAGTTTCATTCATACTTCAGAGGCGCACGCTTAGGGAGCGTCCCCAAAGAGTCGATTTTATCGACGCAGTGTCTCGTTCCCTTCTCAGGGAACAAGGGTTATAGTCATAACCCGAGACGTTTTCCATCTCTCTTATTCCACAACATGAAAATACTAAGTGCAAGAAAGCAAGCTTTTTCCATCCATTCCTACAGAGGGTCTTTCGCCTACACACTGATCAGATTTCTTCGCCTACACACGAGGTAGAAAGCCTCCAGGGGAGGGGCCAATGTGTGGTGTGCCAATGTGTGCTGTGCCTTTGGACTCAAACTACGGCAACTTGGACTTCACAAGTTAAACAAAACCCTTGATAACTGAGAATGAAAGCCAGCACTGTTGATTTTCTCTGGGGACAAAGACAGAATGAAAGAGGATTCCCAAGTATGCAGGATTGCCACACAAAATTCCCACTTATTGCAGCTTTTGAAATCTAGGTTGAATTGAATGCTGGGACATTGTGGTGCTCTTCGTGAGTATGCTATAGGCAGTGACTCTCAACTTCTTTCAACTCACTGTCTCCCTTTTATGACACACTCAGTTCAGTTCATAGAGCTCTTTCCTAAAGAGCTGAGGATCTGAATCAGGTGTGTTAAATAAAGAAGACAAAATGTGCCGAGCAGTGGGTCCCTATAGGACCAGAGTTGAGAAC